ACGAAAATAATTACTCATTTATTTATATTATCACTTAATATGCCATTCGAATGTCCCTCACCAATTATGACAACGAAATGTCAAACTAAATGTGATGTTTATTTTTGACGTGACTATACAGCATAGTTGAAGAACGCGCAGTTAGCGAACAAGTACTGTAATTGTAGTTCTTGCTCCTCATTGTGTTCTTAACAGCCTGGATAGATCAGTAATCAACTAAATGACATTTTAGGATAATGGTCTTACTTGGATGGATTTTTTCATAATTGCTTAGAGTACCACTTTTATGGTTGAATAATGATTCATGAATACGTAGAAAAGCATTGTCTAGACTGCACAGAGTGGCTTTATTGAGTATTCTAGGTCTTCATTGTAAACTTGGTTAGCCCGTAAAATTAGCTTCTCAGTGAAGTTTTAGTATTGTGATGATGCTGCTATTGCATGTTATATGGAATTTACTTACATAATAAAAACGCGTTGTTTTTACTTCTTAAAATGAGATTTTACCACCCTTGGACTGGACACTGGAGTAGATTTTCAGGATACACACTTTGAAGAACTTTTAAGAGAATTTTGGATTTTTTTTTTCCAAAACAAAATTGGATCGTTTTTAGAATGAATTCTAGAGATAACACCAGGGTATTTCAGTAAACATTTTTAGGGAGTTTCAGGAAAATCTCTACGAGAGTTTCGACTAGTACTTCCAAGTCAATTGAGTGAGTTTAGAGTAAACGTTTAAGCACCTGTCTGGAAATTTCCATGAAGTTTGTGAAGAGGATTCCAGAATTCGTAAAAAAAATACCAAGGGAATCGAATTTTGAGGGAGCAATTCCAAAGAAAATTCTGATGATAACTCCATCCGCATTTCGAAAAGAACTTCTAGATAATTTGAAGGAGAGTTCCGAGCAATTTCCAGAAGAATTAAGAGAAGAACTCCATGGTAATTCTGAGCAAACATTGAGGACTATTCCCCTGTCAGATCGGGTTGGTAGGGAAAGGGAATTACTAGTTAGCTCTCAAAAGTTAGTAGGCCCTTTTCAATTTTTGGTTGAGAATTCTGAGGTGAGTTCAATGGGAAATTCTTCGAAAAATTCCGAGAATTAAACCGAATTTAAAAAAAAAATAAGCTTCAAAGAATTCAGTGAAAGAGAATAATATTCGAAGAGAATCTATGGACGAAATTATAGAATTTTTTGGAGTGTTCTACATAAATTTTCAAGGGACTCCCAGAGAGAATTTTAAATTGAGAAGAATTCTGAAAAGAATAAGCAAATGAAAAGAAAAGAACAATCAAATAAAATCCTGTTAAGTTTTGAGTAAATTTTTATAGAAAAATTGCGGAACCAAGTTCAAGATCCAGAAAAAGTAGATTTATATCGAGATGGTTGCAGTTTCTTTCACACATCCGTAGCATTACTGTTTGATCTGATTACCTAGCGTTTACTATGTTTAAAATGTGTATATTTAGAAAACTGCACTGCTTTCCTGTTTTTCGCAACACGCGATTTATGTCTTATTTGCATTCTGTAAAATGTATCGAACAAATTATTCAATATGAAATTGTATAGGATCATTCTTCATGGGTTAGAGGTCTATGTGGTATTTCATGAAAAATGTCCAGAAAGCACTAGTATAATAGCTAATGGGGTTGCCAAAAACAGGTAGGCACTGCAGCTGGATTTTTTTTTTCAAATTACTTGGTTTTCTTCATTGACTCGACACCCTGTACTAGGTGGGCTGCTGATTTTTCATTTAGTGAAATTCCATATACGTTGCTTCTTCAATAATACTTGAAGAATGCTCGATGAGTTCCCCTATCTATGGAAAGCAGTTGACGAATAGAAGGTGAAGATCGATGTCTGCCGCCATTTGAAATCCAGAACTCATTAAGGTGGTGCTCAGATATAAATATTTGGATCTTATACCAGTTTTGAATGAGTAGTACAGTTGCCCTGGAGTTGTACGTTTTGATATTAAATAACCAATAAAAATATGAAAATGCAAGCTTGTCTGATGACCTAGATTTCTAATACCGTAGTTTGATGTTTGAGAAATTTCGGGAAATTTTCTTAAAATCTTTCAAATTTATCAATGCATTGAGATATCTAAGTTATGATTGAAGAGATCTGTTTTAGTGATAATAACATGGCGTAGCCTTAATCCACCACTTGAACGATGTCTTCAGCAATGATACATTTCCAAGTAAATTCAGAGAGTCACGAACAGAACCGGCCGTATCTGAACTAAATCGTAGCTGAACTAAACGAAGTATCATAGATCTATGAACCCGGATAGATATGTTAAGTTAGAGAGATCATCGCTAACGATACTCCAGAATATTTTGATTCTAGCAGACCCGTTCTGTTTTAGACTTAGTTGAAGAGAAACAAGTTGATGTTGTCCAACATACCCAAGACGGATTGCATGCCAACTCGATCTAATTCGATATTCGATATTGAAGGTACCATCAAATTAGGGAGGTTTTAAGAATAAATTGAGTAGAGGAGAGTTCAGTGTATATCCAGAGAATTTTAAAGAGATGTGTCATTACTGATTTTGACTTGTTGGACAGTTTGAGATCTTCAGAATAAAACCTGATGGACCACAAATCTTAAATAAAAATAAATCAGAGGTTATTATGAAGATTATTGATTACCTGGAAAAGTTGATGAAAATTCTGGTAACATTTGAGAAAATGTAAGCATCGAGATTTCAATTGTTGTATGGTTGGAGATCTTCAGAATAACCTGATACACAGCCTTGAAAACAGCAATATCAAGAGAATGTTGTGGAGAACTTTGATCTTCCAACGTGGCATTACGAGAGAATATCTGAAAGAAGTGATCTGAATTGATGGACAGTTAAACATCTTCGGAAAAAGTCCTAACCAACCTGAAGTCTTGAAAAAATATCCAAACGAGTTGAGGCGATCTTAAAACACATGAAGGACTTTGGAATAATGCCTAAACTGCCGTGTTTCACGTGAAAGAAAATCTGAGAGATGCGATATAGATTATGGAACACTTGGATAGCTTTATAATGATACCTGATCAATTTGAAATCTTGAAAAAAATATCTTGAGCTTTTCAAGGTGATCTCTTATCATTTGGTATTATTTTGAATAATTTCTGAGCAACCTGGAATCCTTGAGAATACCATGAATTGAATTGTTGGTTAGTTGAAGACCTTCAGAATGATTCCTGATCAAGCTGAACTCTAAAACAAACATCTTGAGGATATTATGGAGATCTATGACCACTTGGATGTCTTTTGAATAATTTCTGAGCATCTTTAAAAATGCATCTTCTTTCTTCTTCTTCGCATTTCAAGTTTATTGCATATCGCATATTAGCTTATTGCGTGCTCTCAACTTAGTGTTCTAGATGCACTTCCACAGTTATTAATTGAGAGCTTTCGATGCCTGTACCATTTTTGCATCGATATAATTGTGTGGCAAGTCCAATCATACTTCTATGCCCAGGGAAGTCGAGAAATTTTCCAACCCGAAAAATTCCAGACTGGACCGGGAATTGAACCCAGCCACCTCCAGCATGGTCTTGCTTTGTAGCTGCGCCTTTACCGACTGAGCTAAGGGAGGCCCCTTTAAAAATGCATGGGAGATATGATTTGAGTTGTTGGACAGTGGAAATTTGGATGTCTTTGATCATCTGGAGATCTTTAAAATAATTTCTGTGCAACCTGGTATGATTTGGAAATATCTGGTAGATGATAATTGCTTCTGAACCGATTCAATTCTTGCCTCATGCACACTCGAAAAAGGATCCCAAACTATGCTACAATATTATAGTATTGACCTGATATATGCACCGTACAATGCTTTTATGGTATAAGGATCACGAGAGTTATAACAGAAACATTTGATGAAACCAAGCATGTTATTTGCTGTGTTTTTAATTTCACTATAATGGTCAATGAAAGTTAATTTGAATCCAATACAATTCCAAGAGATTTAGCTCTTTCGCATTTTTCTATTTGCTGATTACTAAGAGTGACTTCAATATCGTGTGGGTGTATTCCGTTTTCTACTGAACGCGATTCTATTGTTTTTTTAACATTCAATTGCAACACAATATTTTGCACCACTTGTATACGATCATTATTTTATGTTGAAAAGTATTGTATTCCCATATAGTAAAGATCTTGAGGTTTTTAAGAATAAAACGTACCTAATTTACATATACAATGATGTAACATTGATTGTATTTGAGTGCTTTCCGTTGAATTTTACAATTTGTTGGTGATTAGTTAAGTGTGATTCGATTCATTTGAGAAGTCCGTGATAAAAGCCCATTTATTAGCGATTTAAGAGAAAGCAACGGTATGTCAATACGATCGAATGCTTTGCCGAAATCGATATACAAAGCTTCTACGTGGTTACCATTATCCATTACATTTAAAGAATAATAAAAGGACTCAAGTATGTTTGTAGTGGTTGATCGGTTTTTGAAAAAAAAAAACCGTTTTGTGTACAAGCTATCCGTTTTTTAAAATTTGAACAAATAGTTTTTCCATGATGATTTTCTCAAATAACTTTGGAATGCAGGAGATAGTGGCAATACCGCGATAATTCCGTGTGTCGAAGTTTTTACCATATTTAAAAATAGACACTAGGAAAGATTTGTTTGCAAATGTTAAGAAATATTCAGCCTGCTAGAGTTTTTATGACCGCATGGGAAGTTCCATCAGGGCCAAATCCTTTAGAAGCATCTATATTTTGTAAGGCATCTATAATATCCTGCACGTCTACATGTCTGACATTAACGTCGCATTATAAATCTGGGAAGCAGAAAAATATTCCCTATCACGATCATTATGTTCAAAATCGTGTAAATTTTTTGAAAAAAAAAGTTGAGAACAGATTACTAAGTGCTTCAGTATTACTACTTTCAGTGCCATCCAAATGTTACAACGTTGTTTTTTTTTGTAACACCCTAAGCTATCATTTGGAGGGTGAACCCTCAGGAAGCATATCAAAAAAGCTATTTTGGGACACCCTAATGAATACGCATGTTACCCATTTCGAGACATACATTTTCCAGGAACACTGTTAAGCTGTAGACTGAATAATAGAGGTAAAACGGTGAAACCGGGATTGATTGCACCTCGGCAGTGCGATATCCCAATAATGTAATGCTATCCAAACAACTTACTTTGCCTACCTGCCGGACCCGCCAACAGCCGGTCAACCCCAACTCTTTGCTGCTCAGTTTTGCATACAATTAGACTGGCAATTAACTCTAATTAACTGTGTGTGACGACGGCGATGGTTGTAGCTTACTACGCGACGGCGGCGATCATATCGTGGAAGGCAACGACGACGATGGCTTCAAAGTGGTAATTTCCAGCTCACCCTATTATCAACGAATTCCCAACTCAGGTGCTGGGCCGCGCGGTGCAACCAAGAAGGCATTCGGAATCAGTGATTTGATTGGAAAACATCGATCGAACAAGGTTCGCGGCGCAATCAGTGTTTTGAAACATTTGCGAGGGAAATAGTAAGCAAATCGAATGCTGTGGAAAAGTGATTTATGTTTTTGTGAGATTTATAAATTCTGAAAGTGCCGCTCGGAACGCTAATTGACGTAATAAATCCAGATCAATCAATCGGTCTGCTCGTGTGTGTGAAAATGGCCCACAGGTGGTCGCTAACGGGCGGTGGTAGCCCTGCCAGTAAAGAGTGCGGGGATGAATTTGAAATTGCAGTTCTGTTGAATCGAGCGGCTTCCACATCGTCACCAGTGCGGATCATGGGTGACGATAGTGAAAGGGGGCCAATTGGATCAGATCGTGATGTTGTTGTTGGTGGTGGTGATGGCAGTGATGCTGATGATGATGATGATGGTGGTGATTTGCATCAGCACCGGCAACATAATGATCGCACTTCCGGTGTCGATGACGATGGTGATAGCGATGACGAGGAGAGGATTATGATTTTCGACGAGCAGCGGCCCCTTCGGAGCAAACGAAATGGAAATGCCAAAGGTGAGTTGTGACAGATTTTGCCCTACTGTGTAGTGTTTATATGCATGTGTTTAAATTTGGATTTGTTAGCAATTCGCTGCTTTTGGGAAGAAGGTCAAGATAAGCTTGACTTGACATGGTTTGATTCAATTCAACCAGTAAGATATTATAGGTAAGCGTGTGGCTTGGTATGGAGCTTAAGCTTGTTTGTAATCTTTGTGATTTTCGGCGTAACAAACAAGTATCTCGCGCTTTAAGTATTTTTTCGAAAATAGCTATGAAAATATCACTTTTTAAAAAAATCTCATCGGTAACACTTTAAATCACATTTTTAAAGTTTTCTTTACACAAATGTTTCTTTGTAACACCTTAAGCTAGCAAATGGAGGGTGAATCAGTTGATATTTTGGAACATGAAAGCATTGAATTACACGTAATAGGGGAAATATCTACTTCGGCGTAATCGCCCATTCCCGGCCTATCAAGCACAAAACATCAAATATATCTTTGATTTCGTCGTGAACGTGTCAAACAAACGTTTGGTACAATGCTTCTATTCAATAGCTGCAAGACGAATTGTCGAAGAAAGCAAAATAAGATCTCGAAAACAAAAAACGCACTTGAAGTGTATAAAAGGCACACGTGAATTTATTTTTCTCTCCGTTCGATAGGCCAAAGAGGATCCCAATGGCGTTTAAATGGCTAACAGGCCCAAGAAAACCCGTCGGACAAGTAGAGCCGCCAGAAGCAGTTTTGCATTTTCAACAATAAACGAATATTTCACGACCCCTTATCAGAACTAACCGTGCATACGAAAAGGTAAATACATTTGGAAGCCATCTGTAATAATAATATTCCGTTTGGCGCTAAACTACGCTAGATTACGAAAGACTAAAGGTGGGTTGTGCTTAATAGGCTAGGAATAAGTCCATATGTTTGTCTAAAAAAAGAAACGAAAACGGATCGCATAGCTTATTGAACAAATTGAAAGGGCAGATGACAGAGTGTCGGTGAAAGGAATTGAAAGCCAAAATGAGGCTTGTTTCAACTCGAAAATCAACGTTACTTTCAATGATTAGGGTGAACCAAACAAAGACGAGAAAATCCACAGCCAGCTTTTCGTTCTAAGCGTGTTTCTATTTCATTTTTGTTTCACGCTGCTAGCAAAGACAACAAATTAAGAAGACTGGCAACTCTTCCATTTTCTCATACGAACGCTATGAGACAGGTACAATCGCGTCATATGCCACTCAAAAGTAAATGCTTCGAACGAATTTGATAGCAAATATTACATCCTCAGAGTAAAGGTTTGTGTATTTGATCATTTTGCTATGCGTTGCTTCCACCTTCACTCAAGCGCAGCGCTATTGTATCTGTCGTTCAGATTCAGGCAAAGTTGCCAGTCTTCTTTATATGATGTCTTCGCTGATAGACTAGCTAGATGTCATAGAAATGATGCGTTAAACACGTTGTATGAAAGAAATCAAAAGCGGAGTTCATTTTAGAGTTTCGAAAATATAGAGCCCTGTTTATGGCAAGGACGGTTTTCGAAAAAAAAAAATAGTTCTGTATTCACTTTGGAAAGTAATGCAATGTTTTAAAGCATGGTAAGAAAATGACCCTATCCCCTCAGTGATATAAAGGGGCTTGAATTCTAACCCACGATATTCTACTCAGTAAGCAAAAATGGTCACTCTAGGGCCATCTTGACCCTTGCATCACAACAAGCTGCGACAGACGATCGCTAAGAAGATATTCAAATGAAAGATGTCTCCGTCTCCGAAAGCGCAGCTAACAATATTTTCCAACCCCGTTCAAGCGAACGTCATATTTTTCTAAACATATTCCTTTTTTTCATACCGATCCACCCGAGTTCTACCAGTAACGATTTTCACCAATAGTGGTATGAGGTAGATTCAAATATCTTTTCTCAGCAGGATTTAACTATGTTTTTGTACTCGGCTTGAGCATACGTCAAGGCGAGTACAAGCGCTTTTTTTTATTTCACACCTCTCCGACCGAGTTCTCGCGCGTTCAAAAGCTAGTTTGTACTTTAAAACATCAAAATAAACCTTAAACATTAACACCTAAAGCATAGCATAGTGTAGCGTATGCGACAGTAGAAAACGTGAGCAACTTTTGTTAACTCTTTGTCTCTACCTTGGGGTCAATTTGACCCCAGACCACTTTGAAAAGCTGGAACTTTTTTATTTGTCGATTGATTTTACTAATTCTTTGATGACGAGGTACGTCCACCGGAACTCTGTAATAATGGATAAAATCTGCTCCTAAAGCCTTTGAAAAAACCTTTTTTGATTTTTTTTAATTGAGATACTGACGTTGTCTGTACCCTGGCGTCAATTTGACCCCAAGTTCTGATTGCCGTATCTCAACGAAATTTCAATGGATTTCTGAAATTTTAAATGATTTCCAAAGTAGATTTAGTTGAATTTCTGTTCAAATTATCAGACTTCTCTCGGGGGCATGAAGTGGCATATTTTGATGTTGGAGATGTTTGTATCACGTGATCCCAATCTTATCAGATGTTGCTTCCTTGCACAAACATATTCAAGAATACGAGGTCTTCAAAACTAAGGATAGTGTATGAAAGAATTTATTCACTAGATGGCGCTAAAACGAAAACGATCAAATTGCGCCTCCGTAACTACACATTATATAACGCTATCTATAGATCCTGTTCATATGTTCCGGTCTTCAGCAAAGTTGTTCAGATGGAAAGGACGTATCTTAAAGGACAGTTGTTCAGAATTCACTCACCCGGCGGTGCTAGTGTGACATTTAATTTTCATTGTTTGCCTTATTTAGCATCTTGACTAGATAGAAGGTTTCCTTCTTCGGCAAAGCTCTTCAGATGGACAATACCTATATTATGGTTAGGGTTTCAGCTCTTAATTACCTCAGCAGGAGGTGTTGGTGTGGCATTAATTTTGAATTGTTTGCCCATACTTAACATATAAACTAGATAGAAGGTTCTCGTCTTCGGCAGAATTGTTCAGATGGACAAGACCTATTTTATGAGAAAGAGTTTTGTTCAGATTTCCCTCACCAGGTGGCATTAATTTTCCATTGTTAACATTTTTAACTAGATAGAAGGTTTATGATAAAGAGATATAATTCACTCACCAGGCAGCGCTAGTGTGACATTCATGTTTCATTGATTGCCCCAATTTAACATATAGACTAGATAGAAGGTTTCCGTCTTCGGTACTGTTGTTCAAATAAACAGGACCTATCCTAAGGTAACGAATTTCATAATTCACTCCCCAGGTGGCACTAATGTGCTTTTTTTTTTCCTTTGGTTTGTTTTTTCCGTCGATCTTGTTTTCCGTGCTGAGCACCAATGCTACCGACGTGCCAGGAAGGCAGCTCCCACACCTGGACCCTACCTATCGACCCATCAACTCATGAACCGGGGACCAACGGCTTTACTTCCCATCCGAATGAAGGCGTGATCAGAGATGTTATTGCCTCAGAACATCCCGGCGGCGCCGACTGGGATTGAACCCAGGCCTGCTGGGGTGAGAGGTAATCACGCTTACCACTACACCACCGGTGCCGTTCGTCACTAATGTGCTATTAAGTATGAATTGTTTGCGCTCAGATGGACTAGATAGAAGGTTTCCGTTTTCAGCAAAGTTGTTAAGACGAACAAGACCTTTTTTCAGCAGTTTAGCACAGAATCTACTCACCAGCTGGCGCTTGTGTATTTAATATTCACTTTGAATTGTTTGCCCTAACTTAACATCTTGACTTGATAGAAGGCTCCCGTCTTGGGCAAAGTTGTTCAGATAGACTAGACCTATTCTATGGTAGACAGTTAAGCTCAATATTTACTCGTCAGTTCGTTCTGTTGCTTCACGTTGTTTCTAATTTTTAGTTTCACGTGACAGCTTGCCTAGATAGAAGGTTTCTGTTTTCAACAAAGTTTTACAATTATATGGTTATGATCTAAACTCTCTTGGGATCGGTGGAGCTTAACTTTGTTTATATGTTTAGCTTTTATTTGACATTTTATCTAATTAGAATGTCGCTCTCTTCAACAATCTTGGTCAGAAAATAATAATCCTTTAGTTGCCAACTCTTCTCAGAAGATCCTGTCATCCACATTTAGAAAGAAATACGCAATTAAATTTAAGGATTCGTTTATTTAAAAATGTTTTCTCATTAAAAGAACGATATTTTTCATAACAGTCACTTTTGTTCATCAATAGTCTAAGATAGGTCATATCCATCTGAACAAATTCACCAACGACGGAAACCTTAGGGCAAACAATTCAAAATTAATGTCACACTATCACCGTCTGGTGATTTAATTCTGAGCTGAACTCTTTACCATAATATAGGTCTTGTCAATTTGAACAACTTTACCGAAGATGGCAATATTCTATCTAGATCATATATTAAGTTAGAGTAAACAATTCAAAATTAATGTCACACTACCGTCGCCTGGTGATTGAATTCTGAACTAAATTCTGTTTCTTAGGATAGGTCTTGTCCATCTGAAGAACTTTGGTGAAGACTGTAACCATCCATATGAGCAGGATCTGTAGATAGCGTTATATAATATGTATTTTAAGATGGTTTTGAAGACCTCGTATTCCTGAATATCTTTGCAGAAGGAAGCAGAGCTGTTCCATTTCAAATGACGATTCATTACGATTTTTTTAACCAACCCTTAACCAAATTCAAAATGAATTACATATCATTTTAAGCTAGGTGCTCCAACTACTTAAGTAACTTACCAGCCTTAACTGTTATGATATATATCTAAGTATTTTTACATTGTTCCTGCCTTGGCAATTCAGAATTTTAAACAGGTCTTTTATACCTGCAAGTTGACATCTTAACATGAGCATGAGCAGCATGAACATTATTGACCGCCCACGGTTGCTACTCTGTTATTGCCAGACCAGTTGTAATTACACAGAGAACCAATAGACGATGCTTGGGACTAGCAATCATCCTCAAGGTGTAAAAACTGGTTATCTAAAACTAGGCAAT